CGGGCCCAAAGTTTCAAGGCCCCGCTTGCTTTTCCTTCCAACTTTCCCGGACTTGGCTGCTTGTCGATCAACATCAACACCGTCCTCGACGACAGGGGAGGAGGAGAGGGGGCGGAGGTCAGCCGCGCCGCGCTCACCGGACCCACTGAGCCGAGTGCGTGTGGTGCAGAGTGGCCGCCCTGCCCCGCCCTGGCCCGCGACCCTGGCCCGCCCTTGTCACCGCACGGCGCACAATTTTCCCCTCACTCCTGGCGACATGACCCTGCTTGCCCCCTCGTCTCCTAGGTCTAGGCAGTGCAGGTGGGTCTAGGTCCATACCCTTGCACCTGTAAACGATTTTTAGTGCACCAGGAAAGGCACGACTTAGCACTTATGTTTTACCAGAGTAAACTTCGGTTACGAGTGACTCACTTTGGAGTCTTTTTCGCAAACATCGCACCAATAGAGTGATGAAGAAATGTGTCACTCTATTCTGGCAAAGGTAATGACTCTAGTGAGAGAGGACCTTGAAAATTATTGTCTAAGCATCTACACAATTCATCGTTCGATACGATCGTCGAGGCACTCGACATCTCGATTAAAACAAAACGCCCCTTCCAAACGTTCTCAATCTTGAAGTAAAAACAAAGCAAACAGGTTGCATTCATCTCATGCGCAATTTTTTAATGAAAAACATGGAAGTGCCTCGAATTATTTAGAGAGGAATAAATTAAATGAGGGAGACGAAAGGCGGGGTGAGGGGTTGTCTGGGCGGGAGGGGCTGTGAGGCGGTGAGTCTATGATCCCGACGCCAACAAACAGCAAAACACGGTCCCTCGGCGCCCCGCGTCCCGCCGCCCGGGGACGAGAGAGGCAGCAGCACTTTCGCTTAATTTTTCATCCTCGTCATTCCCCCCCCCCTCTCTCTCTCTCTCTCTCTCTCTCTCCCTCTCCCTCTCCCTCTCCCTCCCTCTCTCTCTTTCTCTCTCTTTTTCTCACCCTCTCACTATCTCTCACGCTGGCTGTGCTATACGAGATAGGTGGTGCAGTGTGAGAGGAAGAAGGAAAAATGAGGGGGGAGGGGGGGAGGGGTGATGGTGGTCCATGTGCGCCGCTCTCGAGGATAAGAGTGGAGAGGCCAGGCCGTTTTTGTTTGCTTTCTTTTGGCCGCGGGGGCTGCTGCGCCGTGCGGGCCGCGCGGGCCGCGCCGTGGAGGCTGGCAGCCCCCGCGGCGCCCCGGCACACTCGGCTCACTCGGCACACCTGTTTGCTGGGACGCGGTGCCCATGTACACATTTTGCCTTGTTCGCTCGCTCGCCCCACTCCCACCTCATCCTCGCACACCGCCCGTACGTACGCCCCCCTCCCCCTCCTCTTTCTCCACCTCCATCTCCTCCACCACAGCCTCCCTCTTCTCCTTCGCCGCGCCGCGCGCAGTGCGAAAACAGCGGAAGTCGTCGAGCCAGCCGCGGCGGCCGCGCGCGCTTCGCGTTATTTCGCGTCGCGTCGTCGCTCCCGCGCGCAGCCCTTTCCGAACGCTCGCCACCGAGCAGGGCGCGCGCTTTGGCGCCGCCGGGCCTCGCTGCTGCTTTCCTTTGGTCGGGGTCCTCCTCTGCAGAGGGAATAAAAAGGAAAACACGCCCGGCCCCACGACAGCGGGCTCTTTCTCGCACACTATATTTTCCGGCGGTCGCGCCCTTTCCCATAGCACGTATCGAAAGATCACCCCCCCCCCCTCCACAACCCCCGCAACCGTCCTACCCCATCTCCCCCCTTTTGCAAGCCTCCTGCCAACACCACCACCACCACCACCGCCGCCACCACCTTCTTCGTCTGCTGCTCGGCTTATACAGGTGTCGGGGCAACTTTGCTTGAAACAACTTGTGCTATTGGCGCCGCAAAGTTATGGGAGAGGAGAGGCCGAAGTGCGCGGAGCAGAAGGAGAAGAAGAAGGAGAAGAAGAAGGAGAGGAAAAAAGAGCAGCGGCACAATTAACGGCTCAGAGAGAGAGAGAGGGGTGTGCGCGAGCGGCAAAGCCGAGAGTGAGTAGAGGGAAATTGGTGCTGTCGGGATTGTCCAGCACGGCCCCCTCTCCCCCCTCCCGCTAGGGAGAGATGGTTTGGGGGGTGAAAGCAAAGCAAGGGACAAAAGTCGAGGGATCAAAGGGGACCCCGGCCCAGCGCCATTCAAGCGTTAGAGATTGCGCATAAAAAGTGACCCTCCGTGAAATCTGAAAAACTCCCCCCCCCCCTCCTCAGCCCCAGCAAAGGGGGGGGAACGGGAACGGGAGGACGCCGATGCCGCCGTCACGGAGGAAAAGAAGGGGGTGTCATTCTGTGGGTTCAAACGGGTTCAAACGCTATCACATTCACCGTTGACAGTGAAATGTTGTCGTGTCTTTGTTTGCTTTTTATTTCCACCATTTGCTCATTTCCCTGCAGAACAAAAACGGTTATTTTATCGGCTGCGGCTGGGGTCCGGCTGCCTGCCTGCATCTCTCAAGGCCCTTGTTGAAGCCAGGATGAGATCATCGCCACCTGGACTCGGGAGAGACGACGGAGAGAGAGAAATGAGGGGATCAAAACATAAAGGGGGAGAGAGAGGATGGAGAGCATGGAGAGCGCAGAGAGTGGAGTAAACCGCCGACCGGAAGCAAAGCGGGCAGAACGAGACAAGCTGCCTGCCCTGCCAGAGCGGCGCAGAGCGCGGCGCGCCCGCCTTCTGCTGCACTGCAGCGGAAGAGAAGG